TACCCATGCTCACAAAGCGTAGAGAAGATTAAATGGGATCGTGTGAGGCAACGATACTCAAACCATGTCTTCAAACTGCAGTCTCCCAGCAAACCGTTACTAGTCTTCATCAAGTGAAGTACAGAGGGCTGGGGTTGTAGCTCAGAGTTAAAACTTGTGGGAAAAAAGAGTTCAACCCTCAGTGCCAAAAAAGAAAAAAAAAAGGTAAGTATAGAAACAAAGCATTAAGATTTAGAACTGTCAGGTGCCGGTGGCTCATACCTATAATTCTAGCTACTCAGGAGGCAGAGATCAGGAGGATCACAGTTCGAAGTCAGCCCGGGCAACTAGTTCACGAGACCCTATCTCAAAAAACCCTTCACAAAAATAGGGCTGGTGGAGTCGCTTAAGGTGAAGGCCCTGAGTTCAAGCCCCAGGGCCTCAAAAAAAAAAAAAAGATTTAGAACTGATAGCAAATTTTTTTTTGAGGTGTTGGGGATTGAATCCAGAGTTTTACACATAGCTAGGCAAGCTCCACCACTGAGCTACATCCTCAGCCCCTAATAGTAATTTGACAGATTTAACTTATGTTTGTTGAATCTAACAGGAAATCAGTGGAAGGGGGGTGAACTGGCTTTATGGGAAAATCCTTCCCTGGTGCATCAACCCACATTTAGAACATAAGCCAGAAGCCACTGAAGATTTCTAAACTAGGAAACAAAGTGACCAGACTTGAGGGGCACACATCCTACTCTACTATCACTGCAGATCAGTTTAGCCACTCTCCTGTGTGGCTTCAATCTCTTCCTTTCAGTGCACTTGCCCTACAAAGGGTCACAAGCTCAGTCAGATCAGTGCAACCATCTGCTATACAGACTCTTCCACTCAAATCTGAAACAGATTTGCTGGAGAAAACCAAACCACTCTGTATTATGTTACACAACAAATACATAGCCTCCAACCTGAGCAGGGCCCTCAGTTTAGTCTACTTTCTCTTCCCTTTCCCAGGGAACAGCTGTTCTTTCAAGTTAGAAACAAGTTATCCTCAAGCCTTTATACTTCACTGCTTCCTACACCTCTCAGCCAGTGTGTCTGCCTCCTTCCTCTTGGGAACAACTGAGGTCATCAGATATGAACTTGCGTAACTCCTTCCACTCAAGCCTAAAAACATATATTTCCTTCCCTCTTACCGCCCTGCCCCCAAACCCCCATACTGGGGATTGAACTCAAGGCCTCAAGAGCTCTACCATTTGAGCCACACCCCCTGAACAACATATATATTTCAAATCACTTTCTTTTCTCACTTCTCATTTATTTCCCGTTACACTGGACTCACTCCATATAGTATGAGTTGCTCAAAGCATGTTAATGTGGGAAAAAAAAAATCCAACATTAAATAAAACCTTCCCTTGTCCCATTTTGGCTGTTTCTCCTCTCCCCTTTAAGTGCTAATGTTTCATAGGTCTGCATCTTTAGTCTTCTTCCTATCTTATTCTTCACAGACTCCTTGGGCAAACTTATTCACTCTCAAGCAACTGTCATCCAAGCCAGAACACCTGTATCTTAGGCCTCTCTGAGCTCTTACAATGCCAATCCTATATGTTAAACTAGCGACTAGCATCTTCCACCTTTACATCTCAGTGACACCTTACACTCAACATGTCAAAAACTGAACTCATATAAGGCTGGGTGCTGGTGATGAATGCCTGTAATCCCAGCTACTCAGAAGGTGGAATGAGGGTTCAAGACCAGCCCAGGCAGAAAGTTCTCAAGAACGCATCTCAAACAATAAGCTGAGTGTGGTGGTCTGCACCTGACATTCCAGCTACAATGGAAGCATAAATAAGAGCATCGAGGTTCTGGGCAAAAACAGACCCTATCTGAAAAAATAACTAAAGCAAAAAGGGCTGGGGGTGGGGCTCAAGGGGTAGAACTCTGACTATCGAGCACAAGGCCTTGAGTTCAAATACCAGTACCACCAAAAACACAAAACAAAAAAAGACCTGAACTCATTCTCCCCCTAAGTTTGTCTCCACTTCTGTTTTAGAGCTCCTAAGTACTATTTCTCAATTGTTCACATTAGAGGAAACCTGGGCATCATGCATTAGATACCACCATCTCCCTAACTTCCTTAAACTCCTCCGTCTGGCCCTGTCTATCCCCACTGTTAATTGCCTTAGTTCAGGTCCTAAGTATCTCTTCTTAGCTAGCTCAAGCTTCTCCGCCTACTCAACTACTTCCTAATCTCCTTCCTTGCCTCTGATTTTTTTCTTTTCTTTTTAAGTTTTTTTTGAGATAGGGTCTCTATAGCCCCAGGCTAGTCTCGAATTCATGATTGTGCAGGTATTACAGACATGTGCCACCATGCTGGCCTCTGATCTTATTCCCTTAAATCTAGCCACAAGATGGTTACCTGATTTGGCCATATAATCACCTCTGGTTAAAACCCTTCCAGTGGAACTGGGAATGTAGCACAGTTATAGTATGAATTGTTAGCAGACACAAGACTTTGGGTTCAATCCCTGGCACCACAAAACGAAACAAAAACAACCCCTCAGTGAATACATAAGAAACATAGCGATGTCTCTGGGGAGAACTGGAGGATCTAGGGTAGCAGTATTTCTCTTTCACTTTGGTCCTATTCAAGTGTTTATCATCAACATGTACTACTATACAAAACCACACAGAAGGCACCTCATTTTCTTTGTGTCTACTTTGTGCCATATACAGATCTTCCATCATGGCACTTAACATTTCATGTTGTACAAAACAGTTAAAGTAGATTGTTTAAAATGTCTGTCTCCCTCCATTAACTTCAGATGCCTTAAGGACAGGAATTGTCTCTTACTGATCTTTGGATTATCAGAGCCTGGATACTGGATCAAAATTTCCAGGGAGTGGAACTTGAGCAAAAACATTTTGAAAATCCAGGGGACAGTGGCTCACACCTGTAATCCTAGCTACTCAGGAGGCAGAGATCAGGGGGATTGAGGTTTGAAGCCAATCCCGGGCAGTTTGTGAGACCCTATCTCAAAAAAACCCATCACAAAAAAAAGTGATGGCTCAAGGTGAAGGCCCTGAGTTCAAACAACCCAGTATTACAAAAATAAAATAAATAAAATATTTTGAAAATGCTCCTCGGACCTGGGCATGGTGTTCCATGCCTATAATCGCAGCTGCTTTGGAGGTTGAGGTAGGAAGAATGCAAGTTTGAGACCAGTCTGGTTAATTTAGCAAGACAATGTCTCAAAATAAAGGGCTGAGGCTGTAGCTCAGGGGCAGAGCACTTGTCTAGCATGTGTAAGGCCCAAGGTTCAACCCCTGGTAACCCCAACACCACCAAAAAAAGAAAAAGGAAATGGCCCTTAAGTGATTCTAACTCAATCCCCTATTAATAACTGCACTAAAATGTAAGCTGTGTAAACTCAGGAATCGTCATGACCAGAATAACGTAAATGCTCATTAAAGGCTTTTTACTAAACTGAAGTAGACAAGTTGAGGTAAAAGAGGTTGGGGCTGGGGATAGGGACACACCAGGATACAAGGTGGTGTGTGAGTGCAGAAAGAATAAATAGTAAGGAAGTCAGGGAGACTTTTTTGTTTGTTTGTTTGAACTCAGCACTTGTGATTTTTTTTGCTAGGGCTGGTCTGAATCTCTGTACTCCTACCCAACAGCCTCCCACATAGCTGAATACCACCAAACACAGCTTGTTTTATTGAGATGGGGGGGGTCTCAATTTTTTGCTGGCTTTTCTCCAAGTGCAATCCCTTGATCTCCAACTCCTGAATAGCTGGGATTACTGACATATACTGCCATGCCCAGTCTCAGGGAGGAATTCATCACCCCGTCACCCATAACTGCAGAAAAGTAAAATTTTTTTTTTTCTTGGTGGTACTGGGCTTTGAACTCAGGGATTCACACTTGCTAGACATGCTCTACCAAGTCATGTCCCCCAGCTCCACAGTTATTTATACATGATTTTTCTATCACTGTGAATTCCTCAAGGGCAGGAACTCTATCCTATTATCTGTATGCTTGGCGCTGAGCACAGGGCATGGTATATATTAGGCACTCAGTAACCTTTTATTAAATTGTGTAGTGCCACTAACAGAGGAAGGTACAATACTTCAGGAACACAAAGGAGGAAGTAACTGACTACCTTGGACTACAAGAGCGCTGGATAAATTGGATTTCAGAGAGACAATTGATCTCGGTTCTCAAAGACAAGTTCATCTGGCAGAGACGAGGCAAGAACTTCCAATAAAGACAGCAGGAGGAGCACAATGCTCTTCTTCCCTATGGCTGGGGGATAAATGCATGAGATGAGAACAATGTCAGCGATTTTAGAAAATAAGGCCAAGAGCTTCAGGGTCAGACTGTAAAAGGTCACGACGCCCATCTAAGTAAGCCTGACTGTGAATGACCAAAATGAGAGTTTTAAAGGTACTGAAAAACGACCGGCTTGACTTTCTAAAAAAAAAAAAAAAAAAGTACTCGCGGCAGCAGCACAAAAGTAAAGAACTGAGACTCGAGGGAAGGAGCTTAATGAGTGGCTACTAGTCTAGCTGAAAAACCCGAACAGAGGCTCTTATCCTCAAGCTTTACACCCGGGAGAAATCAGGGATAGTGAGTAAGTCATTCTATAAAAACCCAAGATTTAAAGCAAGCGGCCTGTGAATTCCAACTCCTGATGACCAGCAAGCCGCACTTTTTTTCGGACCTGAACTGGATGGGGAGTTCCGAACCGGCAATCTCCAGGAACCTTCTGCTCTACTTTCGGGGCTCCAAGCCCTCTCCATCACAACCCCTCGCTGCTCCAAGCCAAGATGCGCAGATCCGCGCGGGGACCGCAGCGCGCCACTGAAGGCGCAGCGTGGGAATGCGCGTGCGCGCCGGAACTGAGCCCCGCCTCCTGTCTTTAAACAAAGTAGAGGGATCGCTGTTCCGCACCGTCCCGGGCTGCGCCGCGATCGCAGACAGACCCAAGTTGGCCCAGATTCCCCTCGCCACACTCACTCACCCGCTGTCTGCGGACTCTCCGGAGCCCCGCGGAGCCAGCAGCCCTCAGGCGACCGGCCTCAGCCTTTCCCGCCGCCAGCTTGGCCGCACCAATCCCTGCCTACGCAGGAAGAGGGGCGGGGCAAAATGGGCTGGTCCATTGAATTCCGAGCGAGGGTGAAGTGGATGTTTGGTGATCAAGTAAGGAGAAGGCAAGCGAGCACAAGGAGTGTTTTATCTGAGTCGATTCCCTACATTTATCTTAAAAAGTCACAGTTGTACTATGAATTTTTTGCTGAATTATCGTAGGAATTAAGGTCCGATTAGAGGAGTTCATAAACATTCTTCCCCTTCTAGTCAAGTGGACTATTCCAAAGTCTTAGGTGGTTGGTTAGAAAAGTTGTTTTATTCGGAAGTGGAGAGCTGAAGCGATGGGTTTTTATGGTTGTCTGTCATACTTTAGGCATAAGTTTAAAGCTTATGAAGTATGCAGGAGGCTCATAAAAGGAAGCGATCAACAATAAATATCATTATTCAGTTGGGGGCACCTGGGCCTTTGTTGAGATGGTGTATCTTGTCAACAGTTAAAGAAGATAAGGCTCAAAGGAATCATATATTTCCTGAATTATTAAGTATTTGAATAGAAGAAATCAATTCTGTGGGTATGAGAATCTCACAGAGATTGCTGTGAGATGAAAGGATAGATTGGAAAAAAGGGAAGACATACAAAAAGAAGACGAGCTAGTGATAAAAGCAGAAAAGATGCCATTTGGTGTATTTTGATTTGCTCTAAAAAAATTAAATTTCTGAAGATCATAGCCTCTCTCTCTCCTTTCCCACCACTCCCCTGACCTTGCTCCAGGCATCAGCCTTTCTGTTTTGGCCTTAGATGCCAAGGTATGTCGGGCAGACCTGTTAAAGCTGCTTAATTTTTTTTAGATTCTAGGCTTACCCACCTCCTATTTAGGTTGGGAGCTCCCTGGCCCAGGGCCTCCGAAGAGATCCATTATGCCAGAATGAACACACAACCCAGCCAGTTGATGTAGACAGGTTTATGGGCTGTACAGAACAACTCGGGTCCCAGTGTTCACTTTTCTCAGAGCTACTTCCCTGCCCAAGTCCCTGGGGCAAGCATCCCTGAAATAAGTAGGCTACATATTCCCACTAACTTCCCTAAAACTTTAGATACACCTCCATCATGGTGATCTGGGACTAATACCACCATTTCTTCTCCCACCCACTTCCCTTAAGTCCCATCTCCTTGGAATGCCTTGTCTCCTCCGCTTCTGTCCTTCTGCCTTTTGGGAGGAGTAACTTCCTCAGAAATCAAGACCCATGCACTTACTAAAAACAAGGTAAAGGCCAGAAATTTAAGGTCTCGATTCTCTATGCTCACCAAACTGGGCTGGGGGAGGGACATATACGTTGACACCTCTTTCCCCTTCCCTAAGCTCTTGTGCCCCAAAACTCAGACACAGCCACACTCACCCACGTTCATACGCACAGTCACGCACACACGGCGAAGGGAGGTAAATGGGGAGGAAGGGAAGTTTGCACCAACCAGCTCATGAATGCAACTTGAAAGATTTCACACAGCAAAGAGGGAAAAAAAAAAAAAAGAAAAACACACATAAATTAAAAAATAAAGAAGTACATGCCCCTCCCCCACAGTCTTCTTCATCCAGAGGCTGCCTCAGCCTCTCCAGAAACCCAGAGGCTTTCTACTCCCTCTGTCCAGCTGGAGCTTTTACAGAGCCTGGGTCTTCAGTTCAACAGGTTCCCCTGTGCCCTCTGGTTGTCCATTGGAGTCACTGGGTCTGGCACCCTTGAGTATAGACAGTCTCTCAGAAACACTCTTGAGCCGAGGGAAAGGAGAAAGTCGTAGAGGAGGCTTCCTAGACCCCCTCCAATGATTGGACCCACCCAATATACCTGTGAGAAGAGGAAAAGAATACTCAGTCTTGGGGAAGGAACTGTGTAGCAAATCTGCTCTTTTTCTGAACCCTTCAGTGGAAAACCAAACATTTTGCTCTTGCCACAGGCAACTGGGCATTGTCTAAGTAGAAGTCAGTGAGGGTTTTTGTTGTTTTTGTGATACTGGGGATTGAACCCAGGGCCTTGTGCATGCTAAACGTGTGCTTATCACTGAACTACACCCCATTTTATTTAAAACTCTAGACTCTACTCCACTGTCAGTAATGTTAAGTATATTAACATAATTGTGCAACCCACTTTCAAAATTATTCCACTTTGTAAAACTGAAATTCTATAGCCATTAAGTAATAAATGCCTATTTCCCCCTCCACTCTAGCCCCTGGGAAGCACCTTTCTACTGTCAGTTTCTATAAATTTGAATACTTCACCTGATGTAAATGGAATTACAAAGAAGGTGTCTTTTAGTGACAGGCTTATGTCACTTAGTATAACATCCTCACTGTTCATCCATGTTGTCACATGTCAGAATATCTTTCCTTTTTAAGGCTGAATAATATTCCATGTATGTATAGGTCCACATTTTATTTATTCATTCATTTATCAAGTGACATTAGGGTTGCTTCTGCCTCTTTGTGCATAATAATGATATGGAAATTGATGTACAGCTTTGAAGATTTTTTGAATTTTCAAAACAACGTAAGCATAACCAATATTTCCTTTTTTTTTTTTTTTTTTTAGGTACTAAGGCTTGAACTCAGGGCTTATATCTCGAGTCACTCCACCAACCCTTTTAAGTACTGGGTATTTTTGAGATACAGTTTTAAGAACTATTTTGTCCCAGCTGACTTTGAACCATGATCTTCTTGATCTCTATATCCTGAGTAGATAGGATTACAGGTGTGAGCCACCAGTGCCCGGCTATATCCAATATTTCTTGAGACTTACTACATACCAGATTCTGTGCTAAATGTTTCACACAGATAACTTTCACTTATTTCTCATGACGCCCCATTTTATAGTTAGAGAGACAGAGGCAAAGAATGAGTTATTTGCCCATGGTCACAGAAAAAAACTAGTGAAGTGTTTAGAACTGGAGTGGAACCCAGGCCCACCTGTAGTCACATATATCCTGATTTTGGGGAGCAGAAGTTTTTGTCTTCATATTTAGTGATCTGTCCTCATAGCCTCTAGTTTTGGCATCCAGTGGATACCCAAAGATTCCTGACTAACCAGAGAAGGAACAATATAAGTAAGAGCCTTTTTTTTTTTTTTTAAGTTAGGGTTTTGCTATGTTTTGCAGGTTGACCTTAAACTTCTGGGCTCAAGATATCTTCCTGCTTGAGCCTCCCAACTGTTGGGACTACCAGCATGCATTACCATGCCCAGCTAAGAGCCTCAATTTTTAGCAAAATTAATCAACCTGCTCACACAGGTATACCATGCTCTCTGACAGACACCTTAACTGAGTACTAGCAGAGCAGCCAACATATCCAGATGGAAAACAGAAACCAAACCTGAAACCTGCAGTCCAGCCCCATCCAGATGGGCTCTAGGATCTTACCCTTCTCCCCTCACTCACCCAGTGGTTGGTGAAGTTCCGGGTGAGAATGGCAGGAGCAAAGGATCGGGCGGGATTCATCCCTGCACCAGTATAATACATCTGCAAAAGACACAGTTGTAACTGAGACCTCCCCCCGACCCACTTGACTTCTCCCCTCACAGCCCACATTGCCACTGAGAGCTGGTATCTTGTCCCAAACCAGGAGCAAGTAGGGAAGGACAAGCTGCATGACTCTCCAGAGGTTCCCACAGAGAACAAGTACTCATACTCCATCTGGGGACAGACTGTGGGCCCAGAGGCAAAGTCCAAGTCTACTCATGATACATGCATTTCCACCTTGGGGTCAAGAAGTACTAGTTACAGTAGTCACACGAGAAGTATAGGGCAAGGTTGATTCCTCTGTGTCAACTGATACAGAGTAAGGTGGATAATGTTCATGTTATCCTGCCCAGTCCATGGGAAGAAAAAAAAAAAAAAAAACTTAAAAATTGGGAAAGGTTTGGGGCCCTGGAATCCTTGAATGAAAAGTTTTCCCTTTTCCTGCTTACCCCAAAGAGGTGGCCCAGAGTGAGGGAGAAGCCAACAGCCAGAGCCACAGAGCCCAGCCGGCCATTCCGCCTCTCGTCGTACGTAGCAAAGATGCAGAGCACGAACTGGAGCGTCAGGAAGATCTCCACAGTGGTGGCCTGGCCCACGCTTACCCCAGCGTGCAACTGGGCAAAAGAAGAAGAAAGGAGGCAGCTCATTAAGGCTGCACAGCATTAGCTCCTCAAGGCTTCCCAGGCAGGGTTCACCTTATGACATCAGTTGCCCAGAGAGGAGGGATATACCACCCCTTTCATAGTAATTGTATTGGTATCTTAATTTTTCCTAGCAATACTCCATCATAGTGAAAATGATTGCTGACTGCACCCATTTACATGGACAAGAAAACTGAGACCCTGTAAGCTAAAATAAGTTTCCTTAAGAACTTAAAAAGAGTTGGAAGGCAAGTGGAATCCAAACTCAAGTGTTTTGATTCTCACTTGCAGGCTCTATGTCTTCCTTACCAGCCCCCCCCCCCCCCCCCCCCCCCCCCCCGCCAAATCCACCTGTTGACCCTTCTTCCCCACATTGAAATGCACACATATATATACACACACATACATATACCCACACACACGTTGCATCAGGCAAGGAGTCAGAGCAATGGTCAACACCAGGTTCCCCCATCCCCTCTCAGGTGACCATTACCGTGTTAAGTGCTAGGTTTCCTCGGATGGCAGGTGGGGTAACACTGTACAGCACAGCGGCCCCAGCCACGGCTCCCAGTAGCTGGGCTGCCATATAGCAGAAGGCACGAAGCAGGGACATCTGAGAGCCCACAAGGAAGGCAAAAGTGACTGCAGGATTGACATGGGCTCCACTGATGTGGCCCACAGTCTGCACCAGTGTAGCCAGAGCCAGGCCAAAGGCCAAAGCCACCTGTAAGACATGCAGGGGTCCAGGGACCCAACGCAGTGAGGCTCCCAGCCCAAAGAAGACATAGAAGAGGGTGGCAAAGAACTCAGCGAATATGGCCCTCCAGAAGGAGGCAGACCGCAGTTCCCACATGGCAGGGGGGATGGGCACAGTGCCTGGGTCCCTATTACCCCCCTGGACTGGTCTGGATGGACAGTCCCTTTTATAGAGGACTCTTAATCCCTGGGAGGGGCAGGCAGAGGGTAGTTGGCCCAGCCTCTTAACCCTTTCACAGCTGCAGAGGGCTGAATTCACACCAATACACTTGATAAAGCTGCTGGATTTTCTCTTTCTTCTTCAACTGGGAGATGAACCCAGAGAGTCATGACCCATGAGGATGAGGCTCATGGATGGAGGACTGGAAGAGTTGGTCCTTTTGCCTGTGTGTCCACAGTCCTGACTGACATCTATTTTAGAACATTCGTCAAATCTCTTTGGAAGGTGGTCAATCTGAGTTCACTTCAGGGGTGTGGGTTGTGCTCTTGGGGGCCTCAGGCTCCTCTGAGTCTGCTGGGGGTAAGGGTGGGGGTGGGGATAAGGAGTGGGGTCCAGCTGGGAAGTTGGATAACTGAAGAGAATTCTTTAGTTCCCTGGGATTAGACGGCCTTCTCCCATTGGCTGGTTTGGGTTGGAATCTGTGGACCCTGCAGCTCTGGGACAGAATAGTTCTGCTGTGTCTGGCTTTCCAGGTTCCCTACCCCCAACCCATGCCAGCACCTCCCTTTCCAAACCTTCAGCCCAGCCTTTTAAACCACAAAGACAGATGGGGGAAGAAGCATAGGCTGGGAGTGTGGGACCGAGGAAGAGGAAAGTGGTCAGTAGTTAAACCTCAGAATCAGCTTTTACTCCACAGCAGGAAGTGGTGAAAGGAAGGAAACAGGGTCTTGGCTATGAAGCAATGTGCGGGTCCAATGTCCTCTAATACAGTCATGATCAGGACACTGGAGTCCTAAATGTCCATCTCCAAGGAAGATTTCAGGGCTCAGGGGCTGGATCTGAGAAAGCAGACTGGTCAAGAAGAAAGAAAAGGACAATATGGGGAAGAAAAGCTTGGGGGAAAGAGGTTCAGGGTTGGTAAGGGACTTGGGGCTAGGGGAGAGGGATGTGTGGGTAGAGAAGGCAAAATGGGATACACTGATAGATTCCACCACCTCCACATCATGGCAGGTCATACAGGCTACAGCTTTCCCTATGAAGCACTAGAGGAAAACAGAAATTTGAGGTGAGGCCTAAAAGGATAGTGCACCTGTGGGAGGAGAGGAGGAACACAGATTAGGGTTTGTGCTTCTCTTCTCTCCAACATCCCAGCTTGGGGTTCCATGGGAAAAACTTTACAGCAAAGGTAAAAGGCCCCTCTAACCCATCTAGGAGCAGGAAGAGTTGAGGGTGCCCACAGGGACTGGTATCCTGATTTCATGGAAGAGAGAACCTGGTCAGCAGTCCTTGGAGTCTCTAGTCCTCTAGCAATCCCACCCATCTCCTGACTTCAGGCCCTAGAACCTTCAAGACATCTCCCAGTGATGCTTCTCAGATCCCAGCCCAGCCATCTCTGCTGGACTCAGGGAGGGCACAGGGATTGTGCTGCCTGGAGAAAAGGTCCCCAGACAGGAGCGAGAGTAGTGCATCATAGTGTTGAGTAGAGACTTTGGTAACAGAAATAGATACTTTGATGAAGATGTGAGTGGGGATATGAAATGACAGAACCATGACTACAGGTGGGAGTGGAAATTTGGATACTCACTTTGGAACACCATCACACAAAGATGAACAAACATCTATTTTCTAACCTGGGAATTGCACTTACATACCCAAGAGAAGCATGTCTATGCATGTGCCAGGAGACAGGAACGTTTAGAGCAGCACTGTTCACACCGGTAAAAAACTGAAAACAACCCACATGCCCAGGAACAGGAGAACGAAGGGATGAATGAATAGCTGTATATGCAAAGGAATATCATTCAGCAGTTAGCATGAGTGAATGACCACAGTGACTCTCAATAATAGGGATAATTCCTTGCAATAAAATAGTAAAAAAAACCCAAAAAACTTTCAAAGCTGGTCATGGTGGTACATACCTGCAATTCCAGCTACTCAGGGAGCTGGAGACGGGAGGATGAGGCCAGCCTGAGCAAAATTAGCAAGACCCCATCTCAAAAACAAAAGAAAGCAAAAAGACTGGGGGGGAAACTCAAGTGGTAAAGTGCCAATCACAAGGCCCTAGGTTCAATCCCTAGTACTATAAATAATAATAATAATAATAAAATGTCAGAATATTATACATGCCATGAGAACCTTTTTTATAAACTTAAAAAACAGGTAAAATAGGGCTGGTGGTAGAATTCAAGTGGTAGGGCACATGTCTGGCAAGCACAAGGCCCTGAATTCAAACCCCAGTAGCAGCTGGGCACCAGAGGCTCATGCCTGTAATCCTAGCTAGTTGTGAGGCTGAGATTGGTAGGAAAACGGTTCAAGGCCAGCCTGAGCAAATAGTTCTCGAGACCCTATCTCTAAAATAACCAGAGCAAAAAAGAGACTATATCTGTGGCTCAAGCAGTAGAGTGCCTACTTTGCAGCACGAAGCTCTGACAACAAACCCGAGTCCCATGGCAGTGGTGAGGGGGTGTGAGGGGAATGGAACGACAATATCACACACAAAAAAAAACCAGATAAAATAAAAATACACAAAATCACGCACATAAAAATTAAGAATAAACACGGAATTCAGGATGGCATTTGTCTTTGCTTAGGGGAAAGATATGAGGCAGGATGTGTGCATAGATATGGTACATGTGGATTTATGTGATTGTTAAGGTCCTAGTTTTTCTAATTGGTGTATGGGTAATAATGATGCTTAATCGTTACTAAAAATAAACAGGGCCGGACATAATGACAATGTCTAATACCAGCACTGGGGAGACTGAGGCAGAAAAATCACAAGTTTCAGGCTAGCCTAGGCTACATAGTGAGTTTCAGGCTAGCCTGTACTACATAGAAAGTCTCTGTCTCAAAACAAAACAAAACAAAAATAAATAAATAAAATAAATTTAAAAATAAACAGGGCTGGGAGTGTGGCTCAGTGGTAAAGCACTTGCCTAGCATGCTCAAGGTTCTGGGTTTGATCCCCAGTACTACAAAAAACAAATAAAAATAAATAAACAAAAAGTTGGGTCATACATAGGTCAAAGAAATGAGGAAATTATGAACAAAGGAATCTTCTGTGTACCATAAATAACAGCAATGGGAACAATAATCCTTACTCAACCACTTTCTAAGTGCTGGGATTAAAGATGTGTGCCACCACATATGGCTTGCTTTACTTCTTTTTTAGGTGGGTAAATTATCCCTGCCAGATATAAGCTCTGAGAGAGTAGGGACCATATGTGTTGTGTTCACCACTGTAACCCTGGTGCTTGACATATAAAGAGTGAATATTTGTTCAATCAATTTAACATATGCTATCTGAGACTCAGTTTCCTCTGGATCAAATAAGATACTGTAGGTAAAAAGCCTAGTACAGTGCCTGGCACAGAACAAAGCACAATAAACAGGAGCCATTCAATAAGGGTTTTATTAACCTCATAAGAAGGAACAGAACAGCAAAAGTCAGCTAATTCAACACTTTGTAGACACTGAATAAAATAGATTTCCTTACTTGGCGCTACAAACCTCTCCCCTTTATTTATTTTCTTGTACTGGGATTTGAACTCAGAGCCTAGTGTGAGCTGACCTTGAACCATGATCCTCCTGTTTCCACCTCCTGAGTAGCTGGGTTACAGGTGTGAACCACCATGCCCAGCCCTCCCCTTTATTCTTTCTTCTTTTCTTTTTTTGGTGGCACTGTGGTTTTGAACTCAGAATCGATCTCACATTTGCTAGGCAGGTGCACTACCACTTGAGCATGTGCCCTTTCCCTTTATTTTTTATCAAATGTTGACAAGAACCGCATGGAGAACTGAACCCCAGCCCATTTCCTTTCACATTAGCCTCCCCACTTAGGTGAATGCCACTATTTCGAATCTAACAGGAGATGAATTCTAAAAAGCTTCCTTCAGTTTTGCATAGATTTAAATATAATTAATATGCTAATTGTTTGTATTAACCTAAACTTTTTATTTTATTTTTTTGCAGTCAAAGCCTCCTTTTTTATTAGCATATTATAGTTGTACAGGGGGATACATTGTGACATTACATAAGTGCTTGCAATATATCTTTTTTTTTAATTCATTTATTCACATGTGCATACAATGTTTGGGTCATTTCTCCACCCTGCCCCCCACCCCCACCTTTTTATTATTTTTCAGATAGTCTATGTAGCCCAAGTTGGCCTTGAACTGAAGTGATCTTCCTGTCTCAGCCTTCCAAGTAGCTGGGATTACAGATGTGTACCAATATGCCCAGCCTTAGCTTAGACTTTTTTTTGGAGTACTGGGGTTTAAACTAAGACACTAAGACACTTGCACTTGCTAGTCAGGTGCTCTACAACTTGAACCTTGCCACAGCCAAGGCTTTTAAAACAAAACAGAAGAAAGTGGTGCCAGTGGCTCACACTTCCTAGCTACTCAAGAGGCAGAGATCAGATCAGGAAGATCAAGGTTGGAAGCCAGCCAGGGCAAATAATTTTCGAGACCCCATGTCTAAAAAACCCATCACAAAAAAGGGCTGGTGGAGTGTCTCAAGATGTAGGCCCTGAGTTCACACACTAGTACTGAAACAAAACAAAATAAAAAAAAAAAAAACAGAAGAAAAACAGATAGTGTCTCCTTTGAGAAGTAAACTCTGGCCTTTTTCAAGCTTCTGCTTAGTATTGGTGGTGTTCTTACCAATGCCAGTGGTCCAGCAGTTACTGAGAAACCCATTGCCAGGCTGCCTGGCCCACCTGCTTCCCACTGCTGCTGGTAGCCATAGTAAACATGGTGAATACTAGATGGAAAGTGGAGAAAACTCCATGCCCAGAGCCTGGCCAACACAGCTCTTCGTACACTTCTACGAGACCAGAGATGATAGAGCCAGGGGAGAGAAGACAGGCAATATCTCTCTCACCTCCCTCAGGCTCCACCATCTATCTTTGTGGGCAGTATCCCCAAAGGTTCATG